ACCTGGCTTCACTGGGTCTTTCCCTCCTGGTACCCAGTGGAGTCTCCGGCGTCCAGTCTACGGTCTCCGCCAGGCGCCACGTGAGTGGCACGACACACTGAGGACTACGCTCGCGGCACTTGGGTTTGCTCCTTCCACTGCCGACCCGTCGCTGTTTCTGCGCACCGACATCTCTCTGCCGCCGTTCTACATCCTCGTGTACGTCGACGACTTGGTCTTTGCCACAGCTGACACTGCTGGACTCGCCTACGTGAAGTCCGAGCTGCAGAAGAGACACACGTGCACTGACCTGGGTGAACTGCGCAGCTACCTTGGCTTGCAGATCACCCGGGACAGAGCACGCCGCACCATTACCCTGACTCAGTCACACATGGTGCAGCAGGTCCTTCAGCGCTTCGGCTTCACGTACTCCTCGCCTCAGGCCACTCCTCTGCCTACTCGCCACTCGCTCTCAGCTCTGCCTTCGGATGAGTCCGTAGAGTCGAGTGGCCCATTTGCAGAGCTTGTTGGCTGCCTCATGTACCTGATGACCTGCACACGACCTGACCTCGCATACCCTCTTAGCATTCTCGCACGCTTTGTTGCTCCTGGGAGACACCGACCAGAGCACATGGCTGCAGCGAAGAGGGTGTTGCGCTACTTGTGCAGTACGTCGGGCATGGGGCTAGTGCTTGGAGGGCGCAGTCCAGTGGTCCTCACTGGGCACGCAGACGCTTCTTGGGCTGACGACCAGGCTACGCAGCGGTCGTCACAGGGTTACACCTTCAGCCTTGGTTCCGGCTCTGTCTCGTGGCGGGCTACCCGCTCGTCTTCTGTTCTCGGCTCCAGTTGTGAGGCTGAGATCTACGCTGGGGCTATGGCTGCACAGGAGTTACGCTGGCTCACCTACCTGCTGACCGACCTTGGAGAGCAGCCTCGTTCTCCTCCAGTCCTGTACGTAGACAACAAGGCCATGCTGGCCTTGTGTCGAGAGCAGCGACTGGAGCACAGAACGAAGCACATTGCTCTTCGCTACTTTCTTGCTCGTGAGCTACAGCAGCGTGGACAGCTGCGAGTTGCGTACGTGGCCTCTGAGGCCAACACTGCTGATGTCTTCACCAAGGCACTTGCGCCTTGTGATCATCAGCGTTGCTGCACGCAGTTGGGTCTTGTGCCTGTCTTGCCTCACTTGCTCTCCTCTTGACCTTGCTTGTACCTTCGCATATATATACTCTTGCTCTTGCTTGCTTGACTCTTGTATACCTCTATATATGATCTTGCATGTGAACTGGCCTTGTGGCCTTTGAACTTGTGCTCGGAATGCGTGGTGACTTTGTGATCCACCCTGAGCTTTGCTTTGCTTTGCTTGACTGGTCTTGTGACCCCTTGTTCTCCCCCACTTTGCCTATGGGGGTGTGTCAGAACATATAGCTTACTTGTTTGTGTAGGCTATAGTGGGGTATCCCATAGGGGGTACAACACAATTAGGGTTTCCTATTTGTACTCACTTCGTTCATACTCATTTCATCCTCGTTCAATTCTTCTCAGGAGGTTACCATCAAATTCGGGTCGAACCATCGGACTGCGCCAAGACAGCATTTAGGACTAGGTACGGGTCATTCGAGTACACGGTGATGCCTTTCGGGCTGACCAACGCGCCTGCAACATTTCAGATGACCATGAACGAGGCGTTTAGGCCACTTTTAGATCAATGCGTCATAGTTTACCTCGACGACATCCTCGTTTACAGTCGGGACCAGCAGCAGCACTTAGTAGATCTCGAAGCAGTTTTTAAGATTTTAGAGGCACATCGGTTACTCACCAAGGGCTCCAAGTGCGAGCTTTTTCGGGACAGGCTAGAGTTTTTAGGTCACGTCATTTCGGAGGCTGGGGTTGAGATAGACCCTAAGAAGCTGGATACCGTAAAAGCGTGGCATCCCCCGACGAACATCACGGAACTACAGAGTTTTTTAGGGTTTGTTAATTACGTTCGTCGGTTCGTCCCCGACATGGCACGCTTAACAGCCCCGCTCACTGATTTACTGCGTAAGGGGGTCCCTTTTACGTGGGGGGAGAAAGAGCATGCTGCCTTCTCTGCCCTGAAAAATGTTCTCTGTTCACCACCCGTCCTACGCATCGCTGACCCACACCGCCCCTTTGAAGTTGTTACAGACGCGAGTGACATCGCCATCGGAGCCGTACTGTTACAGGACTTCGGCAACGGCCTCCAACCCATCGCCTACGAATCACGCAAGCTACATCCACCTGAGCAAAATTACTCGATACACGACCGCGAAATGCTCGCGATCGTGCATGCATTCAAAGTGTAGCGTTGCTACTTGACCGGCGCAGACGTGACAGTACGGACAGACCATCGATCCCTACAGTACCTTCGCGCACAGCCCCACCTCAACCCACGACAGATTCGGTGGCTCGACTTCCTCAAAACGAATTTCCACTATACGGTCACATATAAAAAAGGAGCCTCGAATATCGCTGACGCACTGACCCGCCCCACTGCCCAAATACATGCGATACTACTCGCCCAGACCAGCCCGTTACTAACAGGACTATTTACCCACGGATATCAAACAGACCCATTCTTCACAGGAGGAAATTTACAGCAATTCGCAGCAGCCAAGGGAGCCTATTACGTAAAAGCTGGATCCGACCGCATCTAGGTACCAGGATACACGCTACTACGGGAACTACTGTTACAGGAGGCACACGACGGAGTTACCTCGGGACATTTCGGAGTAGAAAAAACACGGCAGCAGTTGCAGCGGTACTATTACTGGCCGGAAATGTTGACCGACGTGCAACGACACGTGGCATCGTGTCCCACTTGCCAACTCATGAAGTCAACCAGGAAGCGGCCGGCAGGACAATTACAACCAATCCCACCTCCAGAGCGTGCTTGGCAGCAGGTGACGATGGACTTCGTCACGGGGTTACCGGCCGGGGCGAGTGGGAATGACGCGATCCTGGTCGTCGTCGATCGACTAACGAAAATGGCACATTTCGCAGCATGCAGGAAATCAATCACAGCCGAGGAAACAGCCCGACTCTTCATCGCCACCGTCGTTCGACTGCACGGGATACCAGCGTCGATCATCAGCGACAGGGACACGAAGTTTACCAGTAATTTCTGGCGGAACCTGTGGCAGCAGTTCGGCACACGACTTCAATTCAGTTCATCGTATCACCCCGAAACCGACGGACAGACAGAATGGACAAACCAGACTATGGAGCAACTCATTCGAGCCACGTGCGACGATCCAAACACGTGGGAGCAGCAGCTGCCTCTCATCGAGTTCGCATACAACAACGCGCCATCTGCCACGACCCAACAGTCGCCATTCTACTTGAATTACGGACAGAACCCAAAAGTACCCATGACACCAAACCCCGACAATCCCGTTCCACGCGCACAACAGTTCGCCGAGATTTTGCAAGCAGCACGGACCAAGGCAGCAGAAGCAATTAAAAAATCAAATATCATCGCTAAACGCAACGCCGATCGCCACCGCAGACCCGTCACTTATCAGCCCGACGACCTCATTTTACTCGACACTCAGAACCTCCGCCTGCCCATCACTCCCAAACTCCGCCCTCGATACTGTGGGCCATTTCGAATCAGTCACATGATCACACCCGTCACCGCGCACCTCCTCCTTCCTGCTGACTGGTACGTCAGCCCCTCATTCCACATCAGCCTGCTTCGCCCTTACGTACCATCCACCAGCCAACTCCCACGACAACGACCATCCAGCATGTCACGACCACCAACCGAACCAGTCATCACCCCCGACAAAATCTTGAGCCACAGAGTTCGCGACCCTCGAGGGGCCCGAAAAGTTGAGTTTCTGATTCGCTGGAAAGATCGTACACCCACCGAGGACAACTGGGTTCCCCTGGACAGAATTGAAAACCACCCTGTCGTCACCGACTATCTACGCAGCCGAAACATCAAAGACGTGTCAGTAGAGCTACACTGTGAGATCCCCGATCGATCCTAGGGGGGTTTACAGACGCGTTTGCCTGGGGGGTTATGGGCGCACTGACCCGCTACTGAAACAAGCCCTTTTATCCCAATGGTCTAGTGGTTGGGATTCTGACATGGTATCAGAGCGGTCTTGGGTTCGAATCCCAGTGTATGCACATGTAGGCCGTTGCCACTGTGCTCAGTCCTGGGCCTCCCAGTGTGGGGGGGTGTCAGTAGAGCTACACTGTGAGATCCCCGATCGATCCTAGGGGGGTTTACAGGCGCGTTTGCCTGGAGGGTTATGGGCGCACTGACCCGCTACTGAAACAAGCCCTTTTATCCCAATGGTCTAGTGGTTGGGATTCTTACAAGACGTCCACGCGCTTTCGTAAGGAGGACCTTTTAGGAGGGGGGGGGTAGTGTAAGGAAATTCCCTTTTCCTTACTTCGCATCTCTGCTCAACGCGTACATCACTGTAGCACCTCAGTCAGCACCGTTACCACTCGCGACCATTGCATAATTCATCATCCCGCCATTTTCGCACATCGCATCCCGACCTCACGGCTCGGCTGGTAACCCGCGCTCCGGGCCTACGCTTCGACACGTTCCCAACCTCAGTCCCAGGCTCGTCGCGCGACCATTACCGTTACCACTGTAGTTTCGCTATATATTCTTCGCTCATGCCTTCGCTCATTGTACTCTTGCTTCGATAGTGCAATTCTCGTTCGTTCACTCAATTGCACTCGTAACAAAAGGGAGCAAAACGGCAATCAGGCGAGCCTCTAATAAGTAGCACATTATTGGGACCGCACTTACGTAGTACAATGCGTTACAGCTATACGAAGCCCTGAGATTGTTGCTCTGTAAGTCCTTGAACTTTGCAAACTAAGCAAGCAAGCTTGATAGATATCTATGCCTTTACTTAGAACCACCCTGATTATACACTCTGATTCTTGATGGCCGCCTCGCATCATCTCAACCTGAACACCAACAGACACACAAGGGGAAGCAAAAACCATGAAAGCAGATCCGGACATCATTTGCAAACGGATGCGTCCTCCTCAACAGTGGACAAGATAACAGCACGGTGTAACGACAATGCAGTAACATACACCGCATGCATCACATATCGAATCGCTGCAATCCACCTGCTGAACCGGCTGGCAGGCGCAGGCGCTTGGATCTCCACAAACGTGGGAACGAATGGCAGGCGAGCAGTAGGAGCAGCTCCAGCCAATGACGGGCGAGATAATGGAGGAGAGGAAGAGGAAGAAAGCCGGGAAACTGCCTCCTCTGTGCTAACATGCTGCCATGTGCCTGCTTCGTGCATGAGAACTCGGAACTGGTTGGGTTAGAAAGGAGGAGAGAGGGAGGGAGGGATCAGGTGACTGGCAAGTGCCTGCTTCATAGGAAGTGTGGAAGAGAGGAAGTGTGGCAGAGAGGAAGTGTGGAAGAGAGGAAGTGTGGCAGAGAGGAAGTGTGGCAGAGAGGAAGTAGAGTAACCCAGATGGTGTCAGGGGAGACGAGCCCAGTGGCAGTGGTGGTGCCTTGACTTTCTGAGACAAAGCAATGGCTGCTGGGTCCAGGGGATGGGGTCAGGACTGGCGGAGCCTTGGAAGGCGTACCTGGTTTTGAGACGTCTCTAACCAATCTTCATACACTTGGAAGGCGTACCTGGGATGGTTGCAGGAGAGTGGAGCCTCGTGCGAGTGGTGCCGTTCTGATGAGTGACTGGTGCTCGAACACTGGCTTCACTGGGAATGCTGCTGCTGCTGCTGCTGCTGCTGCTGCACTCTCTGACCCAGTGGCAGCGACAGGAGGCATAGCAGCAGCAGAAGTGGCAGCAGCAGGAGTGGCAGGAGTAGCAGCAGCAGCAGTGGCAGTGGCAGCAGCACTGGGTGAAGCAGCGGTTGAGAGAGGGAGAGGGAGGGGAGACACGACCGAATGCACCTGCAAGGGAAGCGAGGGCGAGGAGGAGGAGAGGGGCAACGGGATAAGGTGGAAGAGGGCAGGGGGCAGAAAGCAGAGGGGCACTGGCTGAAGCAGCGGGAGTGGATGAAGCAGCAGTGGGTAAAGCAGGGTGTTTTTGAGAGTTCTCAATAACACCCTGCAGCAGTGGGTAAGGCAGGGGTTGATAAGGGGAGAGCGAGAGAAGAAACAACCAAATGCACCTGCACAGGGAGCAAGGCAAGGAGGAGGAGAGGGACAACGGGATAAGGGGGAAGAGGGCAGGGTGGGGGTGAACACAAGAGGCATGGAGTTTTTGAGAATTCTCAAAAACTCCATGCAACGTGAAGGGTTTTTGAGGCGCCTCAAAAGTCGTCACAAGAGGCATGGAGTTTTTGAGAATTTTCAAAAACTCCATGCAACGTGAAGGGGCCAGGGTGGGGTTGAACACAAGAGGCATAAGGCCACTGACAGCACTACCTGAGAGAGAGTTGACAGAAGAATCTAATTGTTGAAGCAGAGGGGCACGGAGGAGGGAGCATAGGGCAGGGGATTGCAGATGCCTAAGGCCACTGACAGCATTACCTGAGAATGATTTTGAGAATTCCTTTTTTGTTTGAGAATTCTGTTTTGTTTGAGAATTCTGAAAATCAACCTCAAACAAAATGGATTGCAGATGCCTAAGGCCACTGACAACATTACCTGAGAATGCCCACCATGCTGAAGCGACTGAATTAAGTGCTGACTCAGATCAGGACTCACCTGGGACTTGAGCGAGGAGTGAAGAGCAGACTGAAGCACAGACGCCCAGCTGGGCGTGAATCCATCCACACTGATTGTTCCTGCACTCATCTCCTCAAACTCTACTCGTGCTGCTGCTGCTGCTCCTCCTTCTCCTCTTCCTGCTCCCACTTCTGCTCCTGCTCCTACCTGACACCCACATCCTGACCTCTTTGCATTTCCACCCCCACTATCATGCACCCCTTGTGGTTTCTCCTCCCCCTCCTCCTGCCCCTTCTCCCGCCCTTCCTCCTGCCCTTTTCCCTGCCCCTTCTCCTGCCCCTCGCCTCCCCTCACCTCAATCCTATCCCCGTTACAGAGAGCCTCGCATCCCTCTACAGGGACTGCGAGCAGTGGTCGTTTCAGCGCCAGCGATTGGTCCATCACTGCCCGGATCGAGACGGGCAGGCAGCAAAGATTCTCAGCTGCCCGAGAAGCGGTTGCTGGCAGTACATCGGCTTTAGCAGCTACATCAGTTGTAGTGGCTACAGCAGTTGTGGTGGCTACACCGGTTGCAGCAGCTACGTCAGGAACGCTGGTGGGGGACAGGATTTGCCCTGAGTGCGGGTCAAAGAGGGTAGTCAGCACGACATTCTGTGTTGACGAGCCGACTGACGTGGCAGATTTTGATTGGTCCGTGAGTGCCTGCGGGCGGGTGAAAAAAAAAAAAAAAAAAAAAAAAAAAAAAAAACCAAAGGAAGACAGAAAAGGGGAAAAAAGAAAAAAGCTGTTGTGCAAGGAGGACTGAATAGTACAAACTAAATTGCGAGTAACTGACCGAGAGCTTAACATATCTTTGTTTAGGGGCAGATCTGATCACAGCAAGCCAACTAGAAAGAGTTGACTTTTGAGTTGACTCAAAAGTCAACCTGGCCGAGAGCTCAACATATCTGTTGTCTAGAAGCGGATTCAATTGCAGCAAAGCCAACTGAAAAAAACAACCTGCAGCGAAAAGGTTTTGAGAAGCCTCAAAATATGAACAAAACAGGACTTGTGAACGAAGATCAACCGACCTCTCTATCAATAGCTGCAGGGTCGTGTTTTGAGTCGACTCAAAGCACGAATCATTACACTCGGATCACCCGACCCCCCCCCTATCAATAGCTGCAGGGTCGTGATTTGAGTCAACTCAAAGCACGACTCATTACACTCGGATCACCCGACCCCCCCCTATCAATAGCTGCAGGGTCGTGATTTGAGTCGACTCAAAGCACGACTCATTACACTCGGATCACCCGACCCCCCCCTATCAATAGCTGCAGGGTCGTGTTTTGAGTCGACTCAAAGCACGACTCATTACACTCGGATCACCCGACCCCCTGTGAGAGTTGGAATTGAAACCAATAACTTGATTAGAGTAGGAACTAGTATACATAGATGGAAGAGAAGCTTGGAAGAGAAGAGTGGAGTTGACCATAGGTTGGATTGGCCTCACTTTGGGGAGTGAGGCAACCTTAGGCCCACTTGGGTTGGATTGGCCTCACTTGTGGGAAGTGAGGCAACCTTAAGCCAAGGGGGTTGCATTTGGGGGCTCCACCACAATTGGGTGGATTGGCACCCCACAATGCAAGACTACACCCAATGTTGGGTGTAGTCCCAACCCAACTGTACACCACAATTGGTGTAAAGTCACAAGTGTTGGCATGCTACAATATATATTTCTAACACCCCCCCCTATCAATAGCTGCAGGGCGAGGAGGGCCAGCAGGCTGCCATCCCAGAGCAGGGCGAGTGCAGGCGAGTCAAGTCACCTTGTCGCTGTGTGAGTCAACACAGTAGGGCAAGAATTGCACCCATCCCATTACCTGACATCTATTATTACCTGCAGGGCGAGGAGGGCTAGCAGGCTGCTGTCCCAGAGCAGGGCGAGTGCAGGCGAGGAGGGAGGGATCAGAGCATGGTTCAACACAGTAGTGCGAGAGCCACACCTATCACCTGCAAGGCGACAGGTGACATTACCTGCACTGCACACCACAGACATGATCTCACCTGCAGAGCGAGGAGAGCGGGCAGGCTGCCGTCCCAGAGCAGGGCGAGTGCAGGCGAGGAGGGAGCAGGGCCCTTGGTGGGAGCGAGCAGCATGGGCTCCTGTGGGAGGAGGGGTTGTGAGGGGTGATGCATGGTGACAGAGGGTGCAAATGACAGTGAGAGACAGGTTGTTGCATGAACGAGTGCAGGCGAGGAGGGAGCAGAGCCCTTGGTGGGTGGGAGACAGCAGCATTGGCTCCTGTGGGAGGGGAGGTAGGGTGAGAGTAGCGAAAGGGTGGTGGTCACTGGTCACAGGTCACTGGTCACTGGTCACTGGTCACTGGTCACTGGTCACTGGTCACTGGTCACTGGTCACTGGTCACAGGTCACCCCTCCTTTCAATCACTAGAGGGGCGGTTTTGGTGGTGAGCGGTCACCTCTCGTTTCACGAATGCGTTGGGGGGTGAATGCACAGTACAGTGAGTGGATTGAGACGAACACTACCAGGGGAGTGAGAGGAACAGTCACACATTTCACCTACTCAGGTGTCTCAAAACCAAAGAATTGCTGCCATGTATTGAACCATGGCCTCTAAATGGGGCTCGAATGCACAGTATAGTGGGTGGATTGAGACGAACACTACCAGGTGAGAGAGAGGAACGCTAGGACGGTTACCAGGTAACCACCGTGCATGGCCAACTCACAGTGAGGGAGATGCTCCGTTACATGAAGGCATTGGTCCTCACAGCGTAGTGACCGAATTGATGTTACCAGGTAGCCACAGTAACAGTCGACTCACAGCTAGGGAGTTGGTTCGTGACATGAAGGCATTGGTCCTCACAGCGTAGTGACCAAAGGGGCAGTGCCTGGAGCCCAAAGGGAGAGCAGAGGGCGAACGGGGGGCAAAAAGGGGGGAAAAGGGAGGGAAGGGGGGATGAGGGCGTTGGATCTCACAGCGTAGTGACCAAAGTGGCAGTGCCTGCAGCCCAAAGGGAGAGCAGAGGGCGAGGGACAGGTGGAACGGGGGCAAAAAAGGGGGGAAAAGGGAGGGGGGAAAGGGGGAGGTAAAGACGTTGGCCCTCACAGCGTAGTGACCAAATGGACAATGCCTGGGGGAGGGAGGGGGGGGGAAGGAAAGGCGGAAGGGGGTCCTTAGATGATGGGAAAGCAGTCGCTGCAGCACATGATTACACCGAATCAGACCCAACCAAACCTGCACTTGCTGGAACAGAAATTCAGACATGATCAGATTCACGCGCACCTGCACTTATTGCCGCAGCAGCGGCCGGGCTTCAGGAGAGCCGGCGCCGTGAAGACTGAATAGCCTGTCAGGGGAGAAGAGGGCACGGGGCACGGGGCACGGAGCAGGACGGAATATAAAACACCAAACATGGGACATGGGACAGGCAGTATAGAGCGAAATAGAACGGGAGATTGAAACAGGTGAGTCTCTCACCTGTTTCAGGGTCGATGTAAGTCGAATTCCCCGCCGCGCACGCCGCGCGATGCGCCTCCTCCACGTCGACACCCAGATCCACCCCCCACACGCCTCCTCCAATAATCCCTTCCTCCTCCTCCGAGGAGGGACGGCATGAGGGTGAGTCACCCTCATACTTCTCCTCTGGATTTGCCGACATGGAAACCGATCCTGAACCGAAGCAAGGAATTCTGGGCAATCGGCGGGTCGATTTACGATGTAAGTTCGACCCACGAGGGAGAAAACGACCAGCTAGCTGTTTAATGAACTGCCGGACGGTGTGGATCAGCTAAAACTGGATTGACGGCCAGATGCGGCTGTGGCAAAAGCAATGGAGATTCGTATCATCGGCGAGGTTCTTCCATCATGCTGGGAAGGTTGTTTCACTGTTGCTTTACCGCGGTATAAGATAGATAGAGGTTGGTTCATTCTAGCTGAATTTCTTGATAATATATAGATTTTGAAGGATATGTTTCAATAAGGTCCATCAACAGATAACTTCTCACTCCTTCACCGTTCAGCGAAGGTTGATCCCATTACAGTAGCGAACCATGTTACAGATTTGCGACGATGTGCGATGATAGTTTTGTCTCTCATAACGACCAATAACAGGCCTTCATTGGAAAAAGTGATGGTGCAGTAACAGATACAGTACCACGAGCAATAGAATAGCCGTCAGAAGAATAACAGCCAATCAATAACGCGGTTCTTGACGATTTGTCAGCCACGTGGGCAAAAAACTGGACCCCGACATCTAGGGTTTGAAGCTTGAATCTAGCAACAGGTCTGCCATCCTGCCCAGCTTTTACTCCTGCCGCCCAGCTGGCCATCGACACGACAAACCTCGAGTCGAGGTGGTGGGGGCTGGTTTTGGCAAACTCTCTCCCTCGATTTGCACAACCTGCAAAACCCTAGGAGGTGTCGCTCCGTCCCTCAATACGGTGGAATTCGTTTCCTTGCTTTTCATTACATTTGTGTAGGGTTTCGGTTTAAAAGCGAAAGGTGGATATGTTGCTGATACGCTGCATAGGGTTGGTGGAAGAGAGCAGGATTGCTGCAATCAACACCAGCAGCAACAATATTTCCTCCATATGGAGAGCTCCACATGGGCTTTCACTCTCAGACCCAGAGAGGTTCTTCTCATGAACTTGGCTTCAGATTCCAGGCCGTCTGGATCACCTTGCTTTCGTCTGATTTTGCGGACCGCTGCCTAGTATTACGTGACTTGCCGTTCCAGACACTTCAACGCGAGGGTTATATTGTCAGCTAGGGCATTGCGATAATTGTTTGTGTTGAGGTTGGGTTTCAACGTTGCATCATATTTTGAAGGTGGCCTTAGACGCAGTTGCATTTGAGCGGAGCGTTGTTAATCTGGAAAGAAGCAAGATCCTTATAGACCTTAGAGGTACGGTATGCCGTGTTTTAACGTTCGACGATCCTAGGGCGCTGTTTTTTTCCTAGTATCGCCGTTTCTTTGTCTCTGTGTTCCCATCCCTCTTCGTGAATTGTCGTCGTCATCTGTTCAACCTTTTTCATTTTTTTTTTCTTAACGCATCGTGCAGGGTTACCGTTTTGACCTTCTTACCTTATTATTGTCTCAGGTGGTGCTTGTAATGGACGAAGTCTGGCCAGCGTCACGCTTCTTCAGCGACGGTTGTAGTTCCTTGTACGAGAGGTCTGTCTTTGAGGGTCCAACTTTAAGGCGTTTTCAGCAACAGCAGCAGCTGAAGCAGGAGCCGCAACAGCAGTCGCTGCAGCATGTGTTGGAATTAATGCACTCCACGAACCAGCCATATCAGCCACTAGCTCATCCGCAGCAGTTGCAGCTGCAACAGCAGCTTCTGCTGCAGCAGCAGCAGCTGCAGAATCAGCTCCATTTTCAGCAGCAGCACATCTTACCCTCTTGCCATCCGCATCATCCAACCGAGGACAGCTTTTCCTCGCATTCCCTTTTTGATGAGGCTGGATTAAAAGATTCTCACATGCTCCCAGCATCATCGGAAATCTCCACCTTCCCATTGGCCCAGTCTCGGCAAATAATGCCTGGCTTAGAACCTTCCGGATTGAATTCTTCAGGCAGGTTCGACTCCTCTGGACGATTCTCCACTTCCGTAGGCTACGATCCTTCAGACAGGCTTGAATCGTCTGGCAGATTTGAGTTATCATCGCCGCAGCTAGATTCTCCAGTCGAGCATGGAATCGCTGCGTACGATTCATTTGAGTGTTCAGGGGGGCCTTCTGAGAATCCGCTTCCGCCTCTACAGGGATCGCATGAGGCTGTTCTGCCTGACCGTGCACATTTTACGATGGTCGACATTGAGGACTTTTGTTGGGTTAACGAGGATTACTGTGTTAGGTAAGTTGTTTGTTACTTTTACGCGAATGGTAGGTTGTTGCGTATGCATGCCTTCGTTTCTTAACATTCCCCTTATACGTTCTCGTCTTTGACCCATCCTCTCTGCTCTTCCTTGCAGAGTGTACATTCCTTTTCCAGAAGTCCACGCCTTTCCCCCCTCGTACATAACATCTTCGTTCACTAGTAGCTCTTTCTGCTTGTTAATAAGGGGCCTTCCCGATAGTCTATGCTACCGACTAGCACTTGACAGGTATTTATGTCTTTCTGCTTGTCTGGAAATGTTTCATCGCTTTGTGTGCACATACCTTATGATGACCAGTAGTCTTGCATTTGTTGGCAGCTTCTGAATGGTTAATGAATGTTTGAGTCAATACCTACCTGTTTGTTCTTGTGTCCCTTACATCCCATTGGTTTGGCCTGCAGTCTTTATGGGGAGATCCAGCCGAACCTGTGCTGTCACAATGTGCACAAAGATAAGATTGAGATAACTTTATCAAAAGTCACATCAGGCCCCTCCGATGGACCTGATACAGACATCTTCACATGGTTTAGCCTTCGATTATAAGACCATATCAGGATTAAGGCAGTCCATTGTTTATGGTTAACTAATGATGATGTGTACAAAATTTAACCAATTAGAGTTGGCCTCTTCTTCAACCTGCAAGATTAAGAGCGAGGGTGGAACTGCCATTTTGAGCAATTTAAGGTACCTGTAGATTGACTGGTAGTATCTCTACACTGCCAATTCTTTGCTGTTCAACATGCACAATGCATCAATTCATCAAGATGATGGGTGCCCCTGCATGTCTCATGCAAGACTGACACAGTGACGCCCCATTTAGAAAGCTTGTTTTCTTTCATGTAGCAATGGCGTTGTCTCATTTCAAATGGGTTTAGTACAATTTGAAATCCAAGCAGCCTATCAGACTAATGTGCTAACACATTTCAAGGGGTGGGTGGACGGGAAAATCGGCTAAACCGTTTGAAAATTAGAGACGTGGGTGGAGGGAAATGACCTCCAGCCCACGTTTTGTACTCCAAAACGGGTGTTTAGCGCGGTTCCTCGCTGCCAGGCCCTCAGATTGGTTTGAGGGTATGCTGATGGATCGGCGTGCCCCGGTCGCCCAGGTGTCCAAATCAGCGTTCATGGTTTTCTTTATACTGATTTTGCCAGTGTAAAAGTTATAAGTAAACTGAACCATCAGTGTACAAAAGAAATACAAAGTTGTCAAATGTTATATTTGTGATAGGCTGTAGTGAGTTGCTCCTTAGGGAGTACAACACTTTGTTAGGTATCCTACTTGTATGCTTTCACAACCCTAATCCAATCATTCCGCTAAGCTACTTTGAGATGGTATCACGCTAGGTTACCTTCTAGGACCTCCGCGCCCCTAAGCGCCCTCTCGCCCGCGCCCCTAAGCGCCCTCCAGCCCGCGCCCCCTAAGCGCCCTCCAGCCCGCGCCCCTAAGCGCCCTCCAGCCCGCGCCCCTGAGCGCCCTCCAGCCCGCGCCCCTAAGCGCCCTCCAGCCCGCACCTTAGGCGCTCTCGCGACCGCGCCCTAGGCGCCTGCCCGTTCGCGTCCTAGGCGCCCACCACCCCGCCCCTCAGGCGCCCGCCACGTTGCACCTCAGGCGCCCGCCACGTCACGCCGTAGGCGCCCGCCACGTCGCGCCTTAGGCGCCCGCCACGTCGCGCCTTAGGCGCCCGCCACGTCGCGCCTTAGGCGCCCGCCACGTCGCGCCTTAGGCGCCCGCCACGTCGCGCCTTAGGCGCCCGCCACGTCGCGCCTTAGGCGCCCGCCCCGTCGCGCCTTAGGCGCCCGCCACGTCGCACCTCAGGCGCCCGTCCCGTCGCGCCTTAGGCGCCCGCCACGTTGCGCCTTAGGCGCCCGCCACGTCGCGCCTTAGGCGCCCGCCACGTCGCGCCTTAGGCGCCCGTCACCCAGCGCCTTCGGCGCCCGCCAGCCAGCGCCTTAGGCGCCCGCCAGCCAGCGCCTTAGGCGCCCGCCAGCCAGCGCCTTAGGCGCCCGCCACTTCGGGCCTTAGGCGCCCGCCCTCGCCTAAACCGCCCTATACCGCCCTTCAACCGCACTCAACCGCCCTAAACCGCCCTAAACTGCCCTAAACCGCCGCAAACCGCCATACACCGCACTCAACCGCCCTAAACCGCCCACACCGTTCGTTGCAAACCCTAGCCCCACCACTACCTTGTGCGCGGGGCCCTTCACAGCCCTACTGCCATCGGACTACCATTCAGCGGCTGGTAGCCGCTCTCTCTCCCGCCGGTAGCGTAGGTTAGAGTAGGGTCCGCACTAGTGCCTCCTTCGCTCCTAGTGTTCGCAGCCGTTTCTCTCCCTAGCTCTCCAACTGGCGCCTCCTGGCCAGGGACGTGTGGCTCTCGCGTGACGCTGCCGCCGCCCTCACACTGACGGAGCTTCTCCCGCCGACTGAGGCCGCCCACTTTGACCAGGTGGAGACAGCCAAGGGGGTTTGGGATGCTATTGTTGCCCGCTACTCCACCCCCTCCTCTGCCTCCCTCAGTCGCATCCTGATGCCGTTTGTGTTCCCCGACCTAGGCTCGTTTGCGACTGTGTCTGACCTTGTGACCCACCTCCACTCGCTTGACGCTAGTTTCCGTGCGGCTTGTACCGACGAGCAGCTTCTAGCGGCTCCCCCCCCCTTGTGGCTCACTGTGCACTTGTTAGTCACCCGCCTCCCTGACCGCCTTGCCACTGCCCGCGACGCGCTCCTGCAGCAGCACCCCACTGAGCTCACCATCGATCTCCTTGAGACCGCTCTCGGGAA